CATGTACTTATATTCATACATGATTGGAAGATCTCACAGTGTGTAATATAAATAGAAGTAGCACTTTGATGTATAATCCTAGTCTATAAACATTTTTAAATTTTAAAATGTAAAACATCCTGTTTTATTTTTAAGGGAAGTTTGTATTAATTTATCTGTACTCAGGTAGGATAGAGTGAAAACTACAACCCTGCTCCCCATTCACCTCAGTCCTGCTTAGCCAGACTGTGCAAGTCCGAGTAGTATAACAATGTCCTTCCACATATTTTCTTCGCATTGTGCGGGCAGTTTGAACGCTAGTACCCTTTTCCTTCAAGGAGTCCTCCGTGCGTTATTTGTTAGGGCTTCAGTGATTGGTGGAGTCGTAAAGACAGGTCCTGGCACCACGTTGTACATGTCAGTAAAGCGGATTTCAGAGTAGAAACTCCCTGCTAGGCAGGGTTTAGTGTCTTCATAGAATTAGACCCAAGGCCAGGTTAGAGAGCAGAGGCTGAGAGGGCATCTTCTACTGAGAAGGCAGTGTTGGGTGTAAAGCGAGACAGGACTTCTGAACTACAGTCCTGCTTACTAACAGCTGGTCATAGTTACCTTTTAAATAAAGATACAGGGAACGGCCAGTAAAGTATAAGAGAAAAGAAAATTACAAGGTTAATGACCAGTGTTTTTACTTACTTGCTACCTAATAAAACACTCTGTGGTTTTATTACATTAGCAAAGCACCCTCCACCCCGGTTCTGACATTGCTGTTCCTCTAAAGCCCATCCCCAGAGCTTTTATTTCAGCAAGTCTGAACTTGCCTTGTACTGTATATAGTCTCTAACCAAATGTCATACCCAGGCAGTTTGACAGTCGTAGTGTCCTGAGTATTTCTTATGACTAGCAGCCTTAATAACCATCAGATGTCATCCTTTTTTATTTTGAAGTATGAATTTCATTACTGTCCTAAATTAAGCTCTCGCTCGCTCTCTCACACATACACACTCAGGCACACACACAATTCTCACTCTAAAAAGCATGTAATGATTATTCAGTAACTACAGTTACATTTACTTTACAGGTAGTATCTCATCTTAGTTACTCTCACACAGACCTAAAAGGTAGGTTGTATTTATTTTCTTGCTGAAGCCGACTTAGAAGATTAATAATTTAACTGAGTTAGTGGCAAAGTAAGGTTAAACTTGTGACCTGTTGGGCTGAACTTCCAGAATAGCAGAGTAAGGACCTCTGAAAATCTGCTCAATAAAAACAGCAAGAACATTGGCAGAAATTACCACATTAATTTTTTATTAGAACTCTGGACATTAACTAAAGACTGATAATAATCCAAAAAGCATTTATTCAAGAATATCACCTGGAGGTTCATTAACAATGACAAGGTTTGTGACAGTTTAAATTGTGCTAGTCCCAGCTCCCTTTCCCTGCTTGCCTTGAAAACCAGTAGTCTCAAAACGGTGATAGGTAGGGAAAAAACAGCAGGCACAGCCGATTCAGAGAGCAGGGGGCTTCGTACTTCCTCAGAGGCCTGTCCCCAGAGAACTAGTACTATTTTGATTTGTCAGGAAGCTCACTGAACACTTCATTTTCACAGTTTATTTGGCCAGGTGCAAAGCTTGCTTTTTCCTATTTCCAGGGCATTTGTTGAAACCAATGAAAACAATCAGGCAGTCAGCTGTGTGGCTTTATAGGCGGTACCTGAGGCACTGATGTCCGTTGAGGGTCATAAAAGGCTGAAAAAAATAAAAGGAAAGAGCTGGGGAACACTGTGTCCATAGGAATCTTTGAAAAAGTACATTATATTTTTTAAAATTCTCAGTCTTTAACTAAAGACACTCGGGGAAACAAAGTATGGCAGATACGTAGGCAAAATAGAAACAATAGAATTTGTCCCTGAGGAAGCCCAGACATTGGAACTACTAGACAAAGAATTGGAATCAGATGTTATATTTCAAAAATAAAGGAAGCCATGTGGAAACAAAGGAAAATACGAAAACAGCTTCTCACACGAGGTTAATAGAGCAAAATTATTTCTAAAAACAGAAATTCTGGTTATAAAGCTCAATAGCTGAAATGAAAAACGGGTGGAAGAACCAGTAAGCTGAAAGACATGTTAATTGAAATTACTGAGTCTGAGGAACACAAGGAAAAATAATGCACAAAAGACACTTGGGACATTATCAGGCAGACCACAGACGACATGGGAGTTCCAAAGCAGGAGAGGAGAGAGGGGAGGGAGCGGGAGGGAGGGAGAGAGAGCCCAACTTTGATGAATTAGTTCGATGTTCGGGAATGGTAACGAACTTAACCTATGCGTAGACACATCGTAACCAAGCAGTTGAAAACATAAGGAGAATCTTAAAAGCAGCAGAAAAGCAGCGGTTGTCCTGTGTGGGGGCCCCCGTGCTGCGAACACCTGAGGTATGAAGGCCTGTGAGGCCGGTGAGCATGGGGTAACAGGCCCACTGCCGCAGGAGACCTGCAGCCAAGCATTCTACACCTAGCAAGGCCGTCCTTCAGAAGAGCGGTCCAGCTGACTGCTGACCCGCTTCGGAGATTAAGTTAAAGGAGAGGTGAGACAGGAAAGTCCGAAGAAGCGAAAGAGAAGCTGGCTGTGGCGGTGCGTGCCTGTCGTCCCAGCCGTGCAGGAGGCTGAGGCGGAAGGAAAGCAAGCTTCAGCCGACTGGGGCAGTTTGGTAACTTAGTGAGCCCCTGTCTCAAAATTAAAATAGAATGAAGCCGGGCATAGTGGTGGCTGCCTGTAATCCCAGCACTCTGGGAGGCTGAGAAAGAGGGCTGAAAGTTGGAGCCCAGTGTAGGCACTTAGTAAGACCTTGACTCAGAATAAAAAATAAGCAAAAGGCTGTAGATGTAGCTCAGTGTGAAGGCCCCTCGTGGAGAGGGAGGGGAAGGAAGAAGAGTAAGGACTGGTAAGTGATGGCGTGGCACTGTCCGACTCCACACAAGGAAGGAGGAGCGTTGGTAACGGTGGGTACAGACGTAAATGTAAATCGGGTAACGGCTTTTGTTTGTTTGTATCTCTTTTTAAAATAAGACAGCAATTATAAAGCTATGTTGGGGATATATAGTGCGTAAAGATAGGATTTGCACAGTAATAGCGCCAAGGCAAAGAAAAAATGGAGCTACATTAGAACCAAGTTTTTAATATACTGTTGAATTTGTTTGATGATAATTGACAATTACAGATTTTTTGTTTCCTTTTGAAGTAAAATTCACCATTTTAGAGTACACAATTCAGTAGTTTTTAGTAGACTTACAGTATTACACAATAATCTCCAATATGGAATTCCTGAGTGTTTGTATCACCCCATGGACAAGAGGCCCCCATACTTCCTAATTCACCCTTCCCTATCCCCTGGCAACCATCGATACACTTTTTGCCACTCTGAACTTCCTGTTCTGAACATTTTATACTAATAGACTCTCACTGTATATAGCTTTGTACGTCTGGCTTCTTTCACTTGGCATTGTTTTTTCAAGTTTTGTCCATGTTGTAGTATGTATTAGTACTTCCTTTTTTTTTTTTTTTTTGGTTTTTTTCCAGGACCGGAATCGAACTCACGACCTTGCGCTTGCCAGGCAGGCGCTGTGCCCCTGAGCTAAATCCCCAGCCCCTAGTACTTCATTTTTTAAACTGCTGGAAAATATTTCATTGTGTGACGATGCCACGATTTAGCCATTTGTGGACTGATGGGTGTTTGGGTTGTTACCACTTTGGGGTACTGGGAATAATGCTGCTGTGGATGTTCCCGTTTTCGTGCAAGAATTTGAATTCTGTTTCAGCTCCAAATGAGTCTACTGCAGTTCACCTCAGTTCTTCCAGAAAGCACCTGGAATCACTGCTTGGACCCCGTGAGGGAAGGACTCAGTCCTCCACAACACTGCCCCTGGTGGAGACCCTGCTGTGAGGTGAAGGTCCTCCTGTGAGGCCTGCTGTGAGGTGAAGGCTCACTGGCTACAAACGCAGAGGTCCCACCGCCCCCTCAGGTTCGCTAGATAGTTCTCATGCTTCGATAGGAGCCAAGGAAGCAGAAGACCAGTACCTGATCCAGAATGAGGGTCTAAGACCTTGTCAAGGAAGGTGTCCCAGAAGTGACTTCCAAGCTGCAGTTGTAGTTCTAAGCCCAGGTAGGAGCCACTGGAAGAGGTTTGGAGTACTGCAGGCACAGGAACACGTGTGAAGGCCTTGTATGTGCCTGTGTGTCGTACAGGAGAACATACAGGTGTACAAGAGTTGGAACTGAACTTGAGCACTGAGCATGAAAACTAAAGGGAAAACTAGAAAAACAGCAATATCCTTCAGACTCTTGTCGGCTGTTTTACAGGTTGGGCTTAGGAGAGAGTGTATGCCGAAGAGCCACATTCAAGAGAGACCCCTTCAAAACACCATATATTTCCCAGTGTGGTGGCACATGCCTGTCATCCCAGCACTTGTGAGGCTGAGGCAGGAGAATTCTCACAAGTTCCAGGCCAGCCTGGACTACATAGTCAGGTTCAAGATCAGCCTGGACTACATAGCATAACCTTGTCTCAGAAAACTAAAATCAAACAAAAAAAAAAACCACACAAAACATTGATGAATGGCAGAGGAAGAGAAAGTCTGTGATAAAAGAGAGAGAAGAAAGAAACTTAAGAGATAGTGGAGAAACGAGTAGAACATGGAGTCACCAAAATCAAAAGAAATGTGTTTGAAAAAGTGACACCAAATGCTGCTGGAGGTTAAGGTGCGGGCTTGGAAATACCCCTTAGTATAAGCAAAGACTCCAGCCACAAACCCTCTTTCAGGGAGGTGGTTGGGTCAGAAGCCACGCTACACAGTAGGTGGGGTGAGAGAACCTGTAGGAGGTGAGGCCAGGAGCTCTCGATGAGGCTGCAGGCAGTGGAGCTTAGGCAGAACGAGGCAGGCACGGAGCGAGACACCAGTGAGGGCAGCTGGGGGTAGTGCGGTGGTGCTGTCGGTGACGGAGACTTAAGCACATTCAAGCATGTTTGAGGCTCAAGTAGATCAGTATGAGAAGCAAAGTCAAAGAAACATTTGGCAAGATCCCAAAGGAAGTGAGAGGACGGGCTTCGAAGCACAGGCGCTGGTAGGGTGTGTGGATGAGTATGTGCAGGTAAGTTCGTAGGTTCGACAGTGGGCAGGTGAAGAGTTGCGCTCCCGTGACCTCTTCGCAGCATGGTAGACCTGGGCACCTACTGACTGAGAGTTGTAAGAAGAATGCAGGATTTGCAGAAGTCCCGGCAAACAGTGGAGAAGCACAGAAATGTGGAGACGCAGGTCATTTCTGGGCAGCAGTGATGGTCCTGAGATTGAAATTTAGGAATTTACAGCGGCAGCCCTCCTCTCCGATGCGTGATTTTCTCCGTCCGCATTCAGCACCATGGACAAAATGGATAATGGCTTCAGGATCCTCGGCTGGGCAGACGCAGTGAAGACAGCGGGAATCCAGTGGGAGGGAGGGAGTACCGCAGGGGCTCACAGTGCGAGGGAGGGGCTAGAAGGGAGGAGGCAGCGGGAAGGCTGGAGGCCTCTAGAGTGGACCTCGCGCTTAGCCTCCGCGTACGGCCCTCAGATTTTCAGTGCCCTTGTCTGGTTCATAAGTTCTTTGTTTTACCTGTTCACTCTTTCGGGCCAGTTTACTATTTATAAGCACCTGTGTCCTAAGAAAGAATGCAGAAAGCACAGCAGATAAAGTCCTACTGCGACCTGTATTTCTAGAGGAAAAACATTAAGTACGTGAAGATCGGTTCAGTTACCTTCAGGCTGCTCTTCCCTGTGTTTGTGCATCTGCTCGTGCCAAGCGCGGGCTGCCGGGCGTGGCTTCGCTAGGAAGGTGTGTGTCGTCATCTACACCCCCTTCCCGGGCCCTTCTCATTTTTACCTGTCCCCAGTTCTAAATTGTTTCAGCCAAACTACTACTAAAGTGTGAAATTCCATCTTTTTAATTAAATTGCAATACTATACCTTGCTAAATACAAATGCCTTTGGGAGGGGCGCTGTGCTAAGCTTTTCTCAATCATTAAGACATTTGTGGTGAAGCATTTCTGGTCTGTAATCAACAAGCTGAGCAGGTTGTTATGTCTGGGGAGAGAACGTGCAGCCGCAGGGCTGTATCAGTGGCAGAGCTCACGCAGGTCCGATCAGGGTTCCCAGAAGTAACAGGGAAAGCCGCCTGAGGAGAAAGCGGCACTGTGAGAAGAAGGAACCGTGAAGAGGCTGTGTAGGACGACAGTTTTGGGGGGCGGGGAGGATGCAGGGATTGAACCCAGGACCCTGTGCACCAGTCCACCACTGTCACACCCGAGCCCAGACCGCAGAGTTTAACGTCACCATGTTGCTCAGGCCCAATCCCTGCGTGCCAAAGCCGTCTGACCAGCCTGATGAGCACTTTGCATGCTTTGCCCTTTTAAAACTTTTTGTTTTTGTGAGTACACTTTTGCTGTTGGCGGGCTCTGGCAGCCGTGTGCCCCGCTTCGCGTCCCCCGCTTCGCGTCCCCGGGCTGCAGCTTTCCTGTAACACTGCTGTGACGTGTGGTGCTGACAGACCTTGTCATCACCCCCTCTGTGGCAGCAGACAGCTGGCAGCTGGCCGCACTGAGTCATCTCCGCACGTCTAGACCTACAGATGGTGCGTATCAAAAGCTGCTGTAGTTAAGCTGCCCCACTTACTGGGCAGCGCTTGCTAGGACTTTCCTTTTATGTGTGGTAACACAGGTGAGGTCCTGGGAGACATGTGAGATGCTGTAGTTCCCACTTTCATTCCTTTATTTGGCTGGACTGGTTGCCTAGGAAACAGCTGCAGGGTAAAGAGAGTGGTGTTTAGGGAATGGAGTTATAGGGCCCTTCAAGAGGCAAAAGACCCCTTGGCTAAAACAAAAAGTAGTGAATGGCTGAGCCTGTGCTTAATACAGGTGTGCTGCAGAACCCGCATTAAGATAGCTCTACGGGACAACTTATTCAGTGCAGTGCAGTTTTAAATTTAGCTTGTTTTTAATTCATTTAAAGTCACCAAGTGCTTTTTCATTCCTGTTTCATCTTCACGGCTATGAGCCATTTTGGAGGCTTCCAGTGAACTAGAAGGCGCCATTACTGCCTCTGAAAAGTTCGCATCTATCTTAGGTAAAAGAAGTTATCTTTTGGGCTTTTAGCTTAGGAACTTAGCCACATGCAAGGGCATGGATTCAATATCTAGCACACGCGCGCGCGCACACACACACACACTACCTTTCATAATCAAAGGCATGCCAGGTGTGATGGTGTACATCTGTACTCCCAGCACTTGGGAGGCTGAGACAGGAGGTTTGCTGCAAAGTTGGGGCCAACCTGGCATATGTAGTGAGTTCAAGGCCAGCTTGGACTACATAGTGAGACCCTGTCTCAAAAAAAAGAAAAATCAAGGGCATGGCATGATTCTGTGATACAAAAGTGTTAGGAAAATTTGAAGTAAAGTCTTGACTATCAAAGGGATGGACTTTAATCTGTGGGCAGGAAGTGAATGTATAGGTACTAACACTAGCTGAATTTACAAGACGAGTAGCAGCACCGTTACCCTTGCAGATTCCTGTTAGCTTAAGGAAGGTGTATAGCTACTATACAAGTTTTGTGGATTTAAGAGTCTTACTGTAGAAAATGAGTTACAAGAAACCTCGACCATTGTTCTCGCTCCTTCACAGTACATTTAAGTAAAGTCTACCTTTGCTGAAAGCAGACAGCATGTCAGTTTTGGAGTATCTGACTGCTGTAGTGGTGCTAAACACGACTGCCACTCGCTCGATGCAGGGGATGCTGCTGGGGATCGAAGCCAGGCCGAATGTGTGCTGAGCACGTGCTGTAGGGTTAGGCCGCAGCCAGCCCACAGCTAAACACTCTGCGTATTGATATTCTTATGTGCAGTGTGTCTTCTGGCTGTCAGTTAGAATTAGCTGTTGTCTCCTTCCAGGACAGAACTGTTGAATGTTTAGTCCTGATTCGTTGTGAGAAGGAAGTCTGTAAATGTAAGAACATAGTTTGTTCAAACCTGCACATCTGTCAGGTTATTTCCAGGTGGTTTGTGGAAGGTATCTGTGATTTTCATTTCCGTACTTGTTCTGTTTATAGTCTCTTGGCATAGCACGTCAGGCAGGAAAGGAAGGAGAAAGCAAACCTGCTCAGAAAGCTTAGTGATAGAAGGTTAAGTTGAATTTCATCCTTCCTCATCATATCCATAACCGAAGAAAGAGAAACTGTGAGGATACTAGGTGATATTTTCAAGGAGAGCTGTTCTAATTAGATTTAATAAATCTACAGTTTTAAATATTTGTCAGCCAAAACTCTCAAATATAAATCTAAGTCCAGTAGATACTATATAGTTATCAATGGAACTTTATTTGTGTGTTATGAAAAAAGTTGCTTCTATAATCGGAATCCGCAGTACTGCGTTTTGTCGGAGGGTCTTTCATTGCCTGGAGTCCATATTCTTACAGCAATTACGGCTTTTATAAATGAGCAGTGACTGTAAGAGAGTAATTTGTTGCAAGTCTTTCCTGAAGGACCAGAGCTATTTCCTGTTGGGCATTCTTAGGCACTGCTGTGAATGCCTTCTCTATTTCCAAAATTACAATAAATGCATTATTATAAGACACTGCTTCCTCTCAAGTAATCTCTTGAAGGAAACTTTTTAGTGTTTCAGTTTGAGAACAGTTTGCAGCTCCCTGGTACCTGCTTGTCTCTTCTTCTAGTTGCAAGCACTTACCATGAAACTTGAAAGCTTAGCAATAATACCAGGTATTTTCACTGGACATACCTCTCTTTGGCCTGTGAAGTTGTATTCAGCTCCAGGCAGCGGGTGGGGGGGCATAGTGGATGACATTACTGTGCAGATTTGTTCACCTTGTCCTGTCTGCCTCTGTCCTGCCTGCGACAACCCCATAATTGCAATGCTGTTTACACCTGTGCTGGAATTGCCACGTGGGCCTAATTGTTAGATATTTGGGAGAAAACGCACAACTTGTTTCACTCTACTTAGACTTGTGGTCGGATTTCACATGAGGAGGAAAACAGACAATTTTGAGGGCAGGTGTGATTTCTTGCTTAGCTTTCTTTTAACACATGGCGTTATTTCTAAAAATGTGTCAGTGGCAAAACACAAGTAACACGGCACAGATCCCTCCGGCAGCCTTGCGTGTGCACACATACGTCGGTACTGACACATCCACCCTGCTCCGCTTCTCCCACCAAAGAAGCTTCTAGGAATTTGACTGGCTGACTTCACAGAAGGCCCTTTTTCACGACAAGTGCTGATGTTGATGTCAGTGTGTTTATTATTTTTAATTTGTGTTTATATTGAGAGAATAATGCAGACCAAAATAAGACACCCCCTCCCCAAATAAAGATGCAGAAGTCTCTTGTGTTTTCAGCAGCTTCCAAAATTTCTGCTTTTGTACTTTTGGTTAACTATTTTCCCATCTTCAGTTCCTCTTGCATTTTATTCTTCTCATTGAGGAAGAGGAGAAAATACTCTACTTTCTGGATTTGGGTTTCTGTAAGTTAATTCACCTCAATTTTATAGACTGGTTCCTTAGATTTGTTGGTTTGGGGTTTTTTTCCTTGTAGTCCTGGGAATCAAACCCAGGGCCTTGTGCATGCAAGGCAAGAGCTCTACCACTGAGCCACATCCCCAGTCCTGGGCCCTTGGGTGTGACAAGAGAATGCTTATGGAAAGAACACACTTGATGTTTTACAAAAGGCATTTGTGTCATTTAAATACGGCGGGGGGGAGCTTTAAAAATTACCATTGTCATTTGCCTGTGTGCTTTTCTGCTGAAGCATGCCAGTAATGATTTGGCAATATGAACATTTGTAATTGTATAAAAATTGGTGAGTTGGATCCTTTAACTTTGATAAACATATCACTTCTTATATTTAATCTGTTATTTAATTTTATTTGTGTATTGTGGTTAGACATGTTTCAAGTTTTTCAGTTTCCTAAATGAATCTGAGAATAGAAAAGTCACAGTTCCTTCTGATAGTTTGCAAGTTCAAAGAGGGCGGGAACCTCACCTGTCCTGTTCACTGTTACTTGTCTGGAGTCTAGAGCAGTGCCAGGCAAAAGCACTCAGAAGGAAGGTATTTCTTTAACGAACAACTGGGCTAACTGCCCTTATCTGCGTTTTGTGGCTTCTGTAAGGTTGGGGTTTGCTTTGGTTTTGAAGCTCATTGTGTTTGTTATGTCCGGTGTTGCTGTATGATGAAGGACAGCAGAGTGCTTTAAAGGGGGGCTGGGAGTTAAGTACGTGAGTGACCCGCAGACAGACAAGATTTAAAGACTAAGGAGAGGGGTGGTCGTGGGAAGTACTCCGTATGCGAGACCTGCTAAACTGCTGCCGCCTTTTGCATCTCCCCAGGAGCACTCACTGTGGGCCTGGTGCGGCAGTGTCAGACAATCCACGGACGAGATCGGACGTGCATCCCTCCCCGGCTGCCCCCCGAGTGGGTCACCACTCTGTTTTTTATCATCATGGGAATCATTTCACTGACTGTCACATGTGCTTTGCTGGTGGCTTCCCACTGGCGAAGAGAAGCTACAAAGTATGCTCGTTGGATAGCATTCACTGGAAGTAAGTAACATGTCTTCTACCTTCTCTAGAAGGCACACGCTGCTATTGTGCGGAGATAACCAAGAATCTTAACAAGGACTACGTAACCCTCAAACAGCACCATTCTGCGTATGCCCGTGAGATAAACTCTTCACAGTCCCGTCAGCTCTGCAGACTCTTCCCGCAAGACCAGGACGTCCACAGTTTAACTGCTTTGTATGAATTGCTATTTTAATGAATCCTATTATTTATCACATTATGATATAAGTCATTTCAGGTTTGTGACTAAGGAGCTGTCACTAACCTGAATCTTCATGAAGGTTTTGGTATCTTCTATCAAAATAAAGATAAATCTAGAAAAATATTAAAAATATAAATTATATGAAGGTGGTGAATTGCTACTTCATATCATTATTTTGAGTTTCTGTTGTGTATTGTTGTATGACCATTCAAGAATCAGCAACACATTTGGTTATTTAATAACTGTTTATCAACATTTCTTACTCCCTTAAGCTATACCAAATGGCATGATAATTTTTTATACTATACAATCTCTTGTACTTTGCAAAATTGGCTTAATTTCAAAACACATCAGAAGCTTATCCCAAGTTAAACAAAAATTTAAATGCACAAAGAAGCTATTCCTGTAATTTTGTTTTTTTACTCCCTTCTCTCTAAAGCAGCGTTGTACCCTGAGGGACATGTGGCAATATATGAAAAATTCTTCGGGGGGCTGGGGATTTAGCTCAGCGGCAAAGCGCCTGCCTGGCAAGCGCAAGGTCATGAGTTCGGTTCCCGGTACCGGAGATAAACCAAAAAAAAAAAAAAAGAAAAATTCCTCGATAGTCACAGCTACCCACTGGTCCAGTGTTAGAGGCAACAGTAAGTGTTGCTGAGCATCCTCCTCAGGTACAGGACGACTCCCCGCAGTGAGGAACTCTGGCCCCAATGGCAGTAGTACCTTCTGCTCCACAGAGACGGGGTGACAGTACCAGCGCCACGTACTGTGAGACTTAGCTTCCAGTTCACTGTCTCAAAATCATCTTGTTTGCCTAAGTTTCTAAAACTAGGTATTAGAACACAGTTTACTGTCACTTGCTATTTTTATTTAGAACTAGTATGATTAAAGTATAAGCTCATTATCCCTGTTAATGTTAAAACTCAGTTTATCTTGAAGGCTGTAGGAGAATAACATCCCCTTACAGGTCTGTTTCTCCTTAGCTTTCTGTGAAACTTTCTCTTTCACGTCTGTTTCTTACTCTGTTGTTTTATTTTTCTCTCTACAGTTTTAAAATTTAGATCAAGTAAGTTGCATTTAATATAAAAAGCTTGTGCACCCTTGTTAAGCAATGTGAAACAAGTTGATGATCTTTCCTCTGTCAAGGAGAACCCCCGAGACAGATTTTTTCTAGAGAAGACGGGCCACAGACAGTTGTGAAGACAGGGCAGCTGACGAGTACCAGTGAGGAGTTTAAGGAGGATATAATTCTGTTTCTTTTATTCATAGACACTTACCACTTATCTGGAGAGATTGCATACTAAGTATCAGAAAAGGATTTAGTGTCAGCATTTAGTTGAAATTTGGGAGTGCATATGCTCTGAATACCAGAAATCTAAACTGTAATTTAGCAAAGTTGTCTGAGGCAAAGCATATATAAAAGACACGTACATGAGCTATTGGATCACGTGACCCAGTAGAGGGAGGGAAAAAAGGAGAGTGTTATCTGTGTAGGTCATTCTCCTTCAGCAGAAAACGTACGTATGTATAATCAATCCCAAATGCAATATATTTTTCTATTTTGGTCAAGCTAACTTTTGGAGATAATACATGTATATGATACATAATTAAAAGTCTCTGAAAAGACTAACAGAGTGAAAAGTCACTTGTGCCGTGAAAAGTCACCCAGCCATCCAGTCACTGTTAAACTAGGTGATGAAATTCACTGCTGGAAGTGTTCCATGTAGGGAATATGCACATGTCTGTGTCTCATATATTTACATGAATATTTTTACAGTATTCTGCATTTTTTATTTTTAAATATATTTTAGGGTTGATTTTATTTAAGTAGGCATAGAGCTATCATCTTCATTTCCTTAAATATGGTTTCTGTTATCACAGCTAGTCTTCTGGGGTGACAGTTGTGAGAGGAATCGAGCTCCCCCTAATGACTCCTTTCAGCCCTTGAAGACTTACCTTATCATACGTATTTCACTTCCAGTTAGGCTGCACTTTTTATAGTAATGTGAGGGGAGCTCAAATGGCAGCGTGCGCTGAGGAAATACATCTCAGAAGAGAGCCGTGCGTGATGGATCTTGCCCATGGGGGCAAAAGAAAAGAAAATGAGACCTGTTCTCTAAGTCCAAGCCTGTTCTGCTCCTTTGCTGCTGTGTCTTAATGCCGTGTCTCCCAGCACACCTGACTTCTCACTCTTAGCACCAAATGACCCCTGCCATGGAAGATATGAAGTTACACCTTTACAAGCTTATTTAGGTGATACATGGCAATGCTTATAATATTTTATGAGCCAAAGTACTATATCTACATAGTTCTCAGTAATTTAAAAGAAAGAGGCGTCTGCCTCTCTTAAATCTGGTCCCTGGAAAGTATAAAGAATATAATTCCTAGGATTTAAACCAGCGTTTGAATAGGAGTTCACTGCTTCCATAACATTGATTAGACTTTCTAACCAATTTGGAATTTTTTTTTTTTGGTACTGGGAATCAAACCCAGGACCTTGCGCTTGCCAGGCAGGCGCTTGTGCCACTGAGCTATATCCCCAGCCCCTAATTTGGAATTTTTTTAATTTCCTGAGAATGTTAAGTTCTCACTGTAGTCCCTAAATGAGCACCCCACAGTCAGTCTGGACTTATCAGTAGAAAACAAACATAAAGCTGCCCACACACAGCCGTTAGCAGAGTGAGCAGCGTAATGCGTGTCTCTTCAGCATCTTCTTCCAGACTGCTGTAGTGCTTCAGAAAGTTGGTTTGCTGTTATGCTAGGGCTTGAGCCCAGGCCCTCCGCACTGAGCTATATCCGTGTTTCCTTTTTTATTTTTTATTTTGAGGCAGGGTCTCACTAAGTTGCCCAGGCTGGGCTCAAACTTCTGATCTTCCTGCCTTAACATCCCTGAGTGCTGCGATTATAGGCTTCTGCCATCACGCCCGGAACTCTTTGTTTTTTTATTAGCTTGTCTATAGCTGCCTAGATTTGGTTGTATTTTACTCAGCAAACTGTATTCAGCTGTAAGAACCCTTGCAGTTAATGATAGCACTGGTAAGTGGTCAGTCACACTTGTAAAGCTGTTTGTTGCTGACTATACAACAGAAAGACCAAGAACTAGTAAGATTTAATGCCTGAACTTTTCATCTGTTCTCTAATAGGTGTTGGAAAGACTCCAAGTTCACTTATGTAATGTTTTTGGATCATTTTACCCAAAATGAAATATTATCTATGTCGGTATAACATAAAGTCTACGTAAATGGTGCAAAGCAGAATGCTGCTATACTTTTGAGTAGTATATTACTTAAGTAAATGTTGCTTTTTAATATATTGAAGGCATTCCATCTAGGAAAGGGTATATAATTGGCTTTTTAAGGATTCCTATGTTAAATTGCACCGACTGATTAATATACACACAAAGTTGTACAGACAGTGTCAGCTAATGTGTTCTGCCAGGGTTCTGCCTGTATTCCTGAGGCAGGGTTGGTTTGAAATGATCTCACTGCATTAATAATGGAAAGCTTCCCTTCCTCATACAGTAACTAGAAATCTCTACCGAGGGAGTGCTTTTGCTCCCGAGAAATGTGAAGGATTAGGAATATTTGAACAATATGTCTTTGAAAAAACAAAAATATTTTCTTAGGAAAGCTGCCCTCTCTGTAGGTAATTTTTGTTTACTGAGAAGAGCACTTTGATGACACAGGGGGGCACCCTGTTCGCTAAAGCATTAGACTATGGAATTCCTTCTATCCACACACTGATACTTTTCTAGAAACATTAGTGAATAATAGATTTTACTGCACTCATACATAAAACCCAGTGTTTCTTACCCTTCCACACTTTAGCATTTCCACATATTCAAAAATGTGACAGAGGCGAGAGATAACCACTCTGTCAGTTTGCTAATAATCATCCCAAAGATTTAGTGTTTTTTCTTCTAGCTAATTTAGGGGAAAATAAATTGTATTAGGTAGGTGTAGTGGTGCACGCCTGTAATCCTAACACTTGGGAGGCTGAGGCAGGAGGATCTCGAGTATGAGACTGGCCTGGGGTACATAGTGAGTTCAAAGCCAGCCTGAACTACATAGTGAGACCCTGTCTCCAAAAACAAAACAAACTTATTTTTGCATACCTTTTCTTCCAGTTCCTTGCACGAATTGCAAAAGACAATTGACAGGGTAGGAGCTGTGGTGATAGCAGTGTGCAGCATTCCTTTGGCACTTCCTGTCGGCCTGGCGCTGTGCTAGGCCTGTGAAATTAGTCTGTCCCCTGATACTCCCGTTTTCAGAAAGGAGCTGGAGGCCTGCGGCTGTGGGCCAGTAAGTAGCAGGACCAGAACGTAGCGTTGGTTCTAGCCAGTGGCCTTAATTACTAGTATACAGGGTTATGAATAGTATATATGAACACTTAGTAGGCTTGACTTTTCCTGGTGCTGATAATTCACAATGATCCTTAACAGGGCTAATACAACTTTTATTATATCCAATTAAGTGTCAGTGATAATATAAGACCTGTAATATATGCAAGTCAAGTGGTCCATGTTTTAATGGGTTTAATCTTGTTAGTAACCCACAGTACCTCCTATAAACTTCTTTTGTGGCAGATTTTCTGTTTCTCAATCACCAAGCCGTGTTACTAATGTTGTGTTTTGGTTTGTTTTTCAGTGATCCTTTTCTGTATGGCTGCCCTAATATTCCCAATAGGATTTTACATCAATGAAGTCGGAGGCCAACCTTATAAATTACCCAACAACACAGTAGTTGGGTCATCATATGTACTTTTTGTCTTATCAATTTTCTTTACGATAGTAGGACTTCTATTTGCTGGCAAAGTTTGTTTACCAGGCTGATGAATGTCTAAACTGCTTGACTTTTTTTTTTTTTTTTTTTAGGAGGGTGGGAGGACAGAGACAAGGTATCTGAGCAAACCTCTCAGAGGAAGATGCTTAGATGAAACTGATGTTGAAAGAAACAATTCTTTGATTTGTTCTCACTATGCACTTTGGATTTTAAGCAAATGAGGAGAGCCTTTTCCGTAACCAAATACAGACAATATTGACTAAATCTCCTGAGCATATTCAGGCAGGCAGTCTGCACTGTGATAGCAACCTAGTGAAGGAGAACGCTTCACGCTGAAAAGCATGTGGCCCTTGGTGGCTCTGTGCTTCCATTTTAATGTCTAATGATTCGTTTGAGGAAAAAAGTCTAAGTATTTATGAATCGTGGTGGACCAGAGGGATGCAAGCGAAGCTGGTGTGAGGCTGGCCTCACCGCCTAAGCAATGAGCGTTCACAGCTTCCTTGTCACGGTTAAGCCTTTGGTACCAGAATGAATTGCGTTGCAGTACTGTACCAAGAAGCCAATAGATCAGAACGTGTTTGCTGAAATACATGTAAAAATTCTGAAATTCCCTCAGTTCTGTGTACAAAACAAGAAAAGAGAAATCAGACACTAAAGACATGTTGTTTGGGGTGGGTGGGGGAAATCTTCCTTATATTTATATAAATATATATAATATATATATTTTGCTGATGCCGTATACAGTGTGTATATATGTGTGTGTGTGCGTGTGTGTGTGAATTTATATCCGCACACATGCACACAGTTCCTGGAAGAGAATTCTGAATGCTTTGCTAGCAAAACACTGTGGTGTGCAAACCTAGAACTCCGTAGAAAACAAGCCATTTACCTGAAGGCTGCGCGGCGGAGGGCGTCTTCAGTTTACCTCATTCTTTGTAGCAGCCCTTGATTTTCACAGGTCTTTGTAATAGGTACAAATAATTCCATACCTTTCTAGGTGCAATTTTAAGTTAAGCTAAAAATTTCTAGGGTTAATTTATTTGTATATGATAGTAGAAGGTAAGATCATGTCAAACCTTATAATTTGGGGAATCTGACACTATATTTAAATTATTGGCAACTGTTGTCTATTGTATAGAGATTCTTTTTTTCTACTGGCTTGGGTCTGTTACATTAATAATGCATTTTATATGTTCAAGCACACAACTTTACATAACTACAAAGTTCACTAGCAAATATCTGGCTGTTTTGGCTATTTACACTAATTTCACTCTGCCATAAAAAATTAAATTTCTGTTCTTTTTATCTGTAAGCATTATTAATAGATCTTTACCAAATACTTGAGCAATACAATATTTTCTTTATATGCTACATGCCTTTGTTTGCTAAAAGCTAACGGTTTTGCATTTACATCAAAAGCTGTACTACACCCACAGCTTTAAGTTCTTCCCTAAAGAAAGCATACAGCTAACCTTTGAACTCGTAAGTAGTTTCAAAACGTGGTGTTTCTCTTCTCCACATTCCCATGCCTTCACGTCAACGCGTAGTTTTTTTTCTGGTGAACACTATAGTAACTCCTGTTTAAAACATGGGTAGGAGGGTGTTTCATGGCAATAGAGCTAAATTTTTTCTCTTTCAAAGTGAAATGACGACCCAAATGTCCCTGCCACTAAGTAGAGGTCGGTCCCGCGAAGCCCGTGTTTCACACAAACAGAAGTGAACGCATTTTTTTTAAAGAAGCTAAGTTACAAACAGACACTTGGAGGATGGGGCGACCTCCTCGGGTGTTCCTAGTATGAAGTGGAAGAGCTTGATGTGTTTCACACTGGCTTGCTCGATACTCATATATCTGACTAAAATGTCGACCCGACAGTATTTCATTAGAACAACCCCGTGCTTCAGCTCACTGGGGAGCCGAGGGCGAGGATTTGTACTACCCTGTGGTGCATTCCTTGAGTGTTGGAGGGGAATGTTGTACTTGCCCTTCCCCAGCTTTAAAAAAAAACCCAAAACTTGGAAAATCCGAGGAAGACCATTTTCCCCCAAGTATCATGACATCTAGTAAATTCTAAGAATACACCAGGTGTGTTCTGTGGACATTTGGGATTGCAGTTCTTGCGATTTGATTAGTCCTCGTCAAATGGATCATTCTGGAGGAAAGCTTTGGTTATCGCCATTATACCACTAAGATAAAGTGTTTGCAGAGTATTGTTCAAATTAATTTATGATACAACCAAGAGCTTTTCTCTTCCAAAAGAGGGATTTTATTGTAAATAGTTTCTCAAAGTATTTTTAACTGGATCATAAGCATGGGGAGAGAAAGTTTCTCAGCTGCTAAGAATTTCCCCACTGTTTACTTCTTTCACTTACAGTGGTATTGCATATAAGACTACAGAATTTAAGGTTTTATTTGTATCTGTTACCCAAACCACCCTGTTGTCTTTGCTTTCATCACTGTCCTGGAGTCCAGTGTGTAAAGGGCTGGTAGGGAAAAGTCCCCCTAGTCCTTCAGCCCTTACCCCAGGACTGAGACCACCCCATCTAGTAGTGTGTGAGGACAAGACTTCGTGCTTTTCCAGACCAAACACTGACATCGACTCATTCATAGAAATTTCTGTAAATCCTGTAAGTGAAAAGATAGCCAACTGATAGCAGTTGCTTTTAAAAAGGTCACTATAAGTACTATATAGTACAGTATTAATTTATAGCAGGAAACCATATCTTGTAAACTGTATATAAAACACTGTTTTATGGTGCAATCATTTGTCAAAACTTTTGTCTGGTACATTGTTTTTAGAGTGTGCATTCTTCTCATACCTAAGAACATCACTGTAAAATCTGCTGAAAACTATTTTTAGGTTTTATTTGCACAAGACTGAATTAGTTTGAAAGTTTTGGAAGCTCCTATTGAACATGCCTAAATATCTGTAAGCAGAAAAATCTTCAGTTCATTAAAAGCAAACATTTCAGTATGATTCTTTCCAAAGGTAATCATGTTCTATGTTGTTAATGTGTGTATGTAGTTTTTCTGACTCTTCCACCTCTTACAAACTTATTTTGTTTCATTTGTTTTGTTTTCAAAAGATGTCTTTTTTTTCTCTTAATGTTCTAGATGACCAAAACACTTCATTGGTTTTTATTTACCCTTTTGCCTAAAGCTCTGATATCTCCACTTCTTGTTCTCTGAACCTGCTGTTTAATCTCTTAAGTGAAATAATAAATAGTCCTGGTGACAAACAATCTGTTGACTTAGAGAAAAAGCCCAAAAAAAGTATTGAAAACCGACTTTGGATATACACTGAGCCATGATTTTGCATCATGGGCCTCAGGGAAGAACGTGTTGCATTTTTTTGTCTTTTAGTAGAAGACGACTAGCCACAAGTTACTCTGATGGGAGTAGCTTTTATCAACCCACTTGGATCTATTTAAAAATTAAATTTACATTCACAATTCAAAACAGCTGTCATTCAGAAAATTTTTGAAGGATAAAAATACATGAAGGACAGAAGTGGCCTGTGTAGGGAGAACTTCCTATACAGAACTTTCAGCTGTATCACCTCAAGAGATTTTAAGAGTTTGTGATCAAGGTCTGTATATTATCCCAACTTTATTAAGAATTGTTTTCTAATTGGTTATAACATTTTTCAATTAATAATTTCAAAACAAATTGTTAATACAACTGTATAAAATGAACATAATTTTCTTCACTTGTATTTTTGTTATTGAGCAAGTTTATCAAAATAAATTGTCTACTAAAGAAACTACAAAGCCTTCTATTACTTTGAAATGAACTTTGACCTTGCAGACTGAGTTCTTATCGCGGTCTCCGTGCTCACACGGGGCGCTTCCAGGCCTCGTGCTGGTTGTGTTGTTAGAACTGTGCTGAAGGAGGGGCTGGGGATTTAGCTCAGCGGCAAAACGCCTGCCTGGCAAGCGCAAGGTCGTGAGTTCGGTTCCTGGTACCGGAAGAAAAGACAAAAAAAAAAAAAAAAAGAACTGTGCTGAAGGAGCTTCTGCCCTTTCGCTCCCACTCCCAGCCCGCCCCTCGGGGAGAGAGGCCGTTAGTGTTCGGGGTGGGGGTCAGCCCTGTGTGCTAAGAGTCGCTCAGCAGTGAAGGACATTTATGCCTCTCTTCCACCTCGAGTGTCCGTGAGCTTCGCTGAGCCTTAGCCCCGAAGGCCATCCGTGCTTGTCTCCCTTGCTTGCAGACCTAGGTCCATCTTCGCTTTCATCTTCCATTTCTGCCTTACACACAGGGAGGGAGATCTTCGGATCTTTCCCTCCAGAATTTTAAAAGGTGTGTAAGACGGTGTAGAGACCCTTGTTCTTTAGACTCGTCCCTGTGCTCCCCTCACAGCTTTACTGTAGCTTTCTTGGGGTTTCCAGCCCAGCCTAATAAAACTAATAAATACCTTTGCTGCTGCTGCTGCTTTATACGCCCTTTCAGCATCCCCGCGGGGACTCGGGTTAAAATCCAGTGAACATTTGGGTTCTTGGGTTCTGGCGCTTGAGAGCTTCTTAGGGCTCTCAGCCGTCCTTGTCTGAGATGAAGGGTTTTCCAGGACTTGGCCCTGTCAGTGCTGCAGCTGGGGAAGTTCCGGGCGAGCCAGGCTGGTCTCAGATCACTGTCTTCACACCATCCAAATCTGATTCTGCTTGGCAGCACGAATTAGAGGTATTTGAAGGGTTTGCTTCCCCCCATGCACATTAACAAATAGGTAGTTGGAAATTGTAATGGCGGGCTTATACTGAGCTTTGTGAGGGCAGGGGGACCTTCTCCTTTTCTTTGGTAATACCTTAGGAAATGGCAATAACGTGGGCTTAAAAATACCTTACTTTTGACGTAGTCTTCTATTCTGGCCACTGTATGAAAAGATTACAGGGAAAACACCACTTTAGAGGATTCTTTTGTGCAAAGTCAATTCTTGGGTCGTATTAACCCAGCAACAAAATAAAGGCAGGTATTTATAAATGGCATTAAAGATAGTATAACTTCGGGGTTTTTTCTGGTTTTGGTTTCCCTCCCAGGAGAAGAAAACACTGTAGAATGACTTTCTCAGGTATGTTCAGGTATTTGCAAATCAGTCCCACTTCAACAGACTAAGACCACCTAAAATTAAATTTCAAGAAGAGACTTTTGATGAGACTCAGATTTTTGGAGTTGGATGAAATCTAAAAGAGTGTGTCAAGTATATCCATTTTCAGATGAAGAAATTGAGGCCTCCAAAATGCTTACTGATTTTCCCAGTCACACAGCAAGAGCTCAGCGGAGCATTCAACACGACAGATGATTAGATCAGACCTAATCACCTAAATTTGGTGAGCCTTGTGTTTGTTTTATAATCTGTAAAATGGAGCTAATAGTTGTACCTACCACGTAAGGTTTATTTTAAAGGAAGTAGTGGCACACAGTAAGCATTCAACTGCTAGTTATTATTATCATTACTAAATATTTATAACTGAGTTATAAATGATTACAGGACTGTAGCGCTCTCATTGTACTCCTGAGAAGTAAGCTCAGGGCGAGGTTACAAAGGAAAATTATGAAATCACATTTCCTGGAAATCTGAAAGACCCAGTAACCTATCTACCAATACTGTTTTCGTAAAATTCTCGCTGCAGGCAGAGGCTTCCCCAGATCAGCCCTCATAAGGGCGGCCACTTCATCTGTGCAGCGGTGTGATGTCAGCTTCACTGGCCTCTGGGGTTTGCTTACGGACGCGACATCTTTTGCTGCTGTGTTCCCAGTGCCCTACCATTGCTCCTTAGAGACGGCGCAAGCGGCCTGTGATCCCGGGATCACTGGCCTTCTTCCAGCGTGTGGGTTCTCTGCTGCCTTGCAGCCGTACACTGCTGTGTTTTGCAAAGACTTGGTCCTGCCAAGATGTTTTCATTATTTCTGCTAAAAGGATAGTCTCAAAGGTTTGGTCTCTTTAGATGCAGTTCTCCCCAGTTGGCCGTTGTAAGGCACTTCGGTGAACTTGGCCAATTACATTTGTTCGCTATTAAATCAATGCCCATTTGTTACCCGTCAGGTAAGTCAGTCAAACGAATACCATGTCCTGGCTCCGGCAGTCCTGCTCCTGTTGTTCAGGTAGTTAATATTAGTTCTCTTAGACAACTCAGCTATGTCCTTAAACTGAAAAATAAAATTCTTGTCCCTTGATATTGCCTTGTTTTTATGGCCAGCGGAAATACAGTTGAAGAGCCAGTCAAAGAAAATCATTTTTGTTTCCCAGTTGCTATTGTTGTCGTTTAGTTTTTTTGTTTTGTTTCTTGAAACGGTCTCCCTGTGGCGTTCAGGCTGGTCTTGAAGTGACTGTAGCCCAGGCTGGGCTCAGACTCCTGGCAATCCCCTGCCTCGTCCTCCCTGCCTGTGGGGTTACGCCCTGTGCCGCCACACCCAGCTTGTTTCCCAGTTTTTGCCGTTTGAAATGCTGCTTTAAATTTAGGCCTGAGATAAAGCTTTCCCAAGTGTCAAAATAACCTGGCATGTACGTGAAGCACATCAACTACTCCATTAAGGCAATTCATTATTTTAAGAGTACTGTGGTTAGGGCTGGGGATTTAGCTCAGCGGCAAAAGCGCCTGCCTGGCAAGCGCAAGGTCGTGAGTTCGGTTCCCGGTACCGGAGAAAAAACAAAAAAAAAAAAAAAAAAAAAAAAAAAAAAAGAGTACTGTGGTTAGTAGTGGTATTCAATTAGTTTAGAGAAAGAAATTAACATCTAAATATGTCCGTTACGTGCTTTGCCATGTCATCATAATCCTCTGTGTAGTAAACGGTGATATTTTACAGACTAGAAAACTTGAAATCAAAAGGGTGAACAGCCTCCCCAAGGTTCCCTAACTAGTAATTGGAGAATCGGGGCTTTAAACCTAGGTTTCCTTACTGCAAATCTAGGACTCCTGCTGTCCCATGTTGCCCGTTGGCTACTCTAAAGGGAAATAAAAATAGCTTGTCCCAGTTGCATGATTCCTGGCTCATATATGAGCTAAATCTATGGTTTTCTTCTTGTTGGGGTGGGATGCAAAGAACCATAAAGGTAACGAGGTCACCCTCAGACTTCCGTGGGGAGTTTTCAGCATTTGAGCACTTGGGGAAATTTCCCCAAACAGGCTGCTGCTCCCCACCTTCCTCTCGTGGCCCTTAAAAATCAACTAGATCCCTTCCACCTGTGGGTAGGAAACTTACCGGTTATTGGATTACCTAGGTTGTGTCCGTGGCGCATACGTTAGGAAGGCCCCTCCAGCCATTGTCATCTGACCATTCCTACCAAGACAGCCGAGTCCACCCTGTGCCTGGGCGTGGTAAACTTGGCTGGGGTTGCCTGTCCCTGTGGGCCCTGGGTGCACCAAGGCCTTGCTTCCTCTGAGGTCTTGCACTCCCTCGCGGTGTTACTGCCAAACACGGAGCAGCCTTGACGCCCTCTAAGTTCAGCATCTCTAACTTCTTGCTCTCCACTTATATAGGAAAATACTCCCTCGTCTTTGTCTTCCCTCGGAGGAATATTAGGGTCTGTGTTCTCGTTTTCAGTTAATAAAACAAATGTAAATATTTTCCTTTTGGAAACTTCTATCCTAGAGGCTGGGGATTTAGCTCAGTGGCACAGCACCTGCCTGGCAAGCGCAAGGTCGTGAGTTCGATTCCTGGTTCGGGGAAAAAAAAAAAAAAAAAGAAACTTCTATCCTACCTCAACCCGTATGGCTTCATGGGGCTGCTTTCCCCTTCTGCTCCAGAACGGGACACAGAAGCCAGGCCCGGCCAATCAGAGCAGGAACAAGTGGCTCAAGAATGCGCATGGTGTGCGACCGGGAAGCCGAGCCTGGGACTCTGCTGGAACTCTCGGAAACAGAGTTCTTCCTTTAGGGTTGCCAAGTTGTTGGGGAAGCTTGGTACTGCATACGTGCGAGCTTGTCAGCCACGCCTAGAGCGCTGACCTAAGCACATTCTGTTCACACCGTTTCAGTTGTGAAGCCAGAACTATCCTCGAATTACTTTGTTATTTAAGCAAACAAATTCACATTTTTCCTTGAATAGGTTTAAGTTGGGTTTCGGCCTCTTTTCGTTGAAAGGATCTTGATGCTGCCACTTTTCCTCTTGACATTAAACGTGCTCCTCAGCTCCCTGCTCTGGCATTGTCACTTCAGTCTTTTAGTTAGTTCAGGCCTTTACAAAGGCAGGAAAAAACCTGTTCATTTTATGCAACTTCGTAACCCAACAAAATACTTGTTCTTTGATTTGAAAGAAAGGAAAATATAAATTAAAATATATCTAACCATGTTCTTGGGTGATATCACCAGGAAAGAGCTCCTAAAGAAAAGATCAGACGTGGATGAGCTGCCCTTACTCATGTCCCAAGGACCTAGGGTCAGAGAAAGAGCTTCCTGTTCCACTCTGATTCCTCACACCGGGCTGGTCGGGACCTGCAGTCTGAGGGGAGCTAACTGAGATGGCACCAATACAGCTTTCCTCTTGGTCAGTGCAATAAGAAAACACTTACTGTGCTTTATCCACCTGGTACAGAATGTCCAGAATGTATGTCACGTAAGCGCAAGTAGAACAAAGCGGTAACAAAGTTTTCAGTGTTGGGTTTTACTCCTTGTGAGATATTGAAACCCTGTGTATCAGGGGAGCAAGGGAAGTGGGGGTCTCGTGTCTCAAAAAAAAAAAAAAAAAAACGGTATCAGCACTTAGGAGGCTGAGGCAGGAGATGGCCATGAGTTTGAGGCCACCCTGCACTTCATAGTGAGACCCTGTCTGAAACAAAATAAAACAAAATGGTCTCTCACGTGAATCGGCCCCTTCCATCCACAATTTCCATCAAGATGGCCTCACCGTTGCTTGTTCATGGCCTATGATTCCCTTCCTGATCCCCTCTAACCCCCATCCTGCCCTGTTGATTTTGGTGAAGTGCTAAATGCCTCAGACTTACATACATGGTGTTCTCGGCCCGTGAATGTTCTGCTCAGAGTAGCTAGAGGTTTGTAAGCAGTTTCTCCTTCGAGGAGTTTGGTTCGTTCTGACCTGGCCAATAGGAGCCACTCCTGTGGTTGACAGTTCAAGGGGCCTTACCATCCAGCGACTGCCACAAGTCACATATATTCCAACTTACAAAAGTAAAGATTGAGGAAGTGAACGCTGATTTGAAAACTATCCTGGATGGATTAAAAAAAAAAACAACTAAGTGCTAATCCCTTAGTTACTTACAAGGCTGACCAACACTGGATATATCACTGGATCACTCGACCTCCAGGAAAACGGGGCTGGGCAGGCCTGCAGCCACGGGCCGGGGCCTCCTTCCATCGTAATCACCGCAGGCCACTGCTGAAGATTCGTGTGGCCAGCCCTGCGCGGTTCTTAGTCTCCCGCATGAGAACAGGTGTTGTTTTCTTAGCAAACAACCCTGACGTTCTGATGGGCGCCTGCGTTTAGAAACCACTGGAGTGGATCCTTTGCCCGGATCTCAGCGGTCTCGGGCTTGGGAGTCGGCCAGGTGTGGGTGGGGCTGGACCTGGACCCTCCTCACCCCCGCAGTCTGCTCAGAGGGCCCAGGGCGGTGGTGGTGAACGCATGGCACTGTTTGCATCATGGAGAGCTCTGAAAGGTTCGCCCTCACTGCCCTAGCGGGTGCGGGGAAGAGTCCCACATTGCGCAGGTGTTGGGGCTCTGGTCTCTTTCTTCCTTTCTTCCAGGAGAAGGCAGCAGGCACCAGGGCTCTGCTGGTCCAAACCACGGTTCTCTGCTGACCCAGGGGCTCTAAAGATAGAAAAGAGCCCCAAATCCTGCTTGCAGCCTTTTGTGAGCGTGGAGAAAGCCGAGTGAGGGTGAGGAGGTTGTTCCCGACACAGCCGTGGGTCTTCCCTGCGGTGAGCAAGCCTTCCCTTACCCTGCCCTAAGCTGCAGTGGTGCGGTCTGTTACCTTGGAGACCAGCTGACACCTCCCTGTGGGGCGAGCTTCACTGCTGAGTTCCCGGGAAGAGCCTGAAGCAACCAGAAGTTGAAACCAGGAAAAGCAGGGCCCTGAGTACGGAGGCCCCTCTCCACAGCTAGAGAAATAAATAAGCAAATGCAGGCTAAGGTGAGTGTCACAAGGCTTGGTGGGGGCGGGTGCTAGGCTCTGGACTGAGGAAGGGTGAGGGGGCCCTTCAGCGTCAGCTCCCTGGTGCCAGGCCAGGTACTAGGTCCTGGGCGTGTACAGCAGACAAGGGCGCAGTGGAGCTGGCCAGGGAGACACCAGGACATCGTGAGACGGTGCGGACAGCAAGGAGGACTCCCCGGGGGCTTCCCCTCTGGGAGCTGGGGACGACATCTGGGGTTCAGAAAAAAGCTTACTCTGCTTTGAGAAAAGGTGCAAAGGGCATTCCTGGAAGAAAGACCTGAGAAAAGCGTGTGCAGCAGGAAGGTGCATGTGAGGAGCAGAGCAGGGTGAGGGATGAGCGCTCAGCCAGGACTGACCCTGAGGGGACGACAGGCTTGGGAAGAGGATCCCAGAGCTCGGAGTAGCCATGCAGGGCCGTGAACACACAGCAACAGAAACGGCTCTGCGTACTGGAAACATCACCCTGGCAACACGGACTAGGTACGCGCAAGACCAGAGGTAGTTCTACAGTTAAAAATACAAACCTTGGGGATGGCTTTATCCTGGATGAATATTTAGAACAATCCTAGATCTAGCTGTTAACAAATCAGGAAGTTAGCTAACAGCTTTCTTTCACCCAAAAATCAGAGCTCCCTCCCCCATGGACCAAAATATCACCGGCTGTAGAGGGGCTGGGGCTGTAGTTCAGCGGCACAGCCCCTGCCTGGCAAGTGCAGGGTCGTGAGTTCGATTCCTGGTACCGGAAGAAAAACAAAACAAAACAAAAGCACAACATCTGCTGTGGACAGTTTGCCTGTTCTCTTCCTCTCTCATCACTGCTCCAGGACAATGTGTGCCACCTTCCCCTAAACCCTGAACTCAGTGAGTGGTTTTTGACAGCTGCTGGGGCCTAGGCAGTGTTCTAGCCGTGAACAGGGCGGAGGCCCTGGATCCTACTTCCAACATGTTCAGGTTAGGATGGGGGGGCGGGGCAGATAGTATCAGAAACATCTTGCGGGTGGCACTAAGCAGGGTGGAGGGGGTACTATGTGAGTTAGGTGCTCAGAGACAGCTTCTCTGATCAAGACTCTTCTGAGCAAAGGCCTAAGGGTAAGAGCTTCACCCTGTTCATCGCTGTATCACTTCTCTCTGGCCGTAAAAGCTACTCTACGAACGTTCAGGAAGAAATATGTGACTTTTGCTAAAGTTCTTAAAGACGCATTTTTAGTGATATGCTAAATTTCCGTAGTACTTTGTATTTCAAAAACACTTTTAAAATGTCTATTTAATTTGGTCCTCTTGACAGTGCAGAGCAGTTACTGTTTCCCCCACTCCACCACAGATGAAGGAACCAGAGGTCCAAAGCTCTTTCCCACACACTGTGTTGTTTGGTGGTTTTGTGTCATTCAACCTCACCATCAGTCCACACAAGTCACCCCAGCGTCCAACTGTGCGGCCTCTGGATTCTTAAAAAGATGGCTAATCAGTGCCTGCAGAGGGGGTTCTGAGCCTCTGTTGGGGGAGGGGTAGTGTTCAGGCATTTCTGTTTCAACAGCTCCCGCCATGAGCGTCTCCAGAAGAGCTTATTGAAGTAAGCCAGATTTGACTTCCTTCCCTCCTTCCCTCCTTCCTTCCTTCTTTTCTTTTTCTTTCTTTCCTTCTTTCTCTTCTCTCCTTTCTCTCTCTCTCTCTCTCTTTCCTTCCTTCTGGTTTGTAGACATTGTCGCATTATCCCACCACATCCAAGAAAGCAAAGCATCCTTTGAATAAAAGACTAAAGCCCCAAAAAGAGAAGAGCAAGCTGCAGAACCATCATCAGACTGTTAAACAATTTCCTAAAAGAGCACAGTGGTGTTTAAGCTGCAGACTCATTCAGAGTTTCTCACTTGCTGTGTTTGCCAGGGTATTTATTACAAGTAGTAGAAATCTAAATGAGCTAACTTAAGCAGGAAGGTGGGAGATTATAAAGAACAGGGTATCACATGGACCCCAAAAGCAAAAAGTAGTCAATTCTAACAAATGTCTGGAATAAATAATTGAAAATTCAAGAACCAAGGCAGGTTCTTAACTGCCTACTTTCCCATCACCTTCCCTCCTCAAAATATGCTATCCGCCAGGCCCGGTTTCACTTAACTTACAGTTTAATAGACATACCACTTCTTTAAGATCGAATGAGTACTAATTAATATAAAATTCCAAGTTTAAGTAAGTGCTCTAAATGAGAGGAGCACAGTTCTGTGAAAGTCTGTATAAAACAAAGGAACCTGAACTGGAATAGAATGTGGAGAATAATTCCTGAAACAAGTAACGTTCGTACTGAAACATCAAGAATGAAATAGGTAGTGTGCCGGGAAGTTAAAAGAATGTTCCAGAACAAAGACAGCAAGCACATGAAAAGGTCATGAGGTCAAAGGAACTGTAGAATGTTCCGGAATCCTTGCGGACCCAGAAGGGAAGGGCAGTGTGAGGTGAAAAATCTCAAAAGATAGATGGGCAATGGCCAGACCGTGTGTGGCCCCAAGTGCTGTTTTAAGGGTCTTAGTGTTCATTCTAGCAATACGGGGAAGACTGAGCAGTTTTAGGCAGAAGGAGATGGTAAGAATGTACCATTGGGCTTGTTTTTTAAAAGATTATTCTGACTAAGGGGAAGAGGTTAGACAGGAGCACTGAGGGTACAGGAAGCCGGTTAGAGTCTGCAGCAGTTGCCTGAGACAGAAATGACAGGGGCAGGGTGTGGTGGCGCATGCCTGGCATCCCAGCACTCGGGAGGCTGAGGCAGGAGGATCGTTGCGAGTTTGAGACCAGCCTGGGCTACAAAGTGAGCTCAAGTGCAGCCTGAGCTGCATAGCGAGACCCTGTCTCAGAAAGAAAAAAAAAAAAAAAAAGACAAAGACATGGACTAGAGAAATGTCAGTAGGAATAGAAATGGAAAAATTGGAGGGGCAAAAGGAACAAGATTAGCTGCTGGACTGGATAATAGGACTGAGTGTCTAGAACAACTCTGACTCATATAAGTAGAGATGCTGCATTTTTGTTGTTTGTTGTCCCAAGCTAGAGAAAGGAGACAGGTTTGCGGTGAGTACCACGAGTGCAGTCCCGGGCATCCTGAGTCTGAGGTGCTCCGAATAGAAAAGTCCAAGCCAGTGAATACCGGGTCTGAAGTCAGGGTAAGAGGTCTGCGTTCTTGACACACAGCGTACAGATGGAAGCTGAGGGCCTGCACGTGGGCAAAACTGGCCAGGAGCAGAGGAGACCTCGCTGTCGGCCTCAAGGACACCGAGCCACAGTGCTCAGAGGATGGGCCTGGGAGGGGCGGGCAGGAAAGACAAAGCCCCTGAGGAAGAGGCCAGGGAGGCCGAGGCGGGGGCGGCCCTTCCCTGTGCTTTTCTTGCAGTCTTTGCCTGTGTTTGAATCTACGTGGCAGGTGGCCCTGTAGCGCTTCATTCCACATTCACAGAGAGAACCTCACTGATCCATCGTAAATACACCTCCACCACTGACTCAGTAGCCGGACTGGAAGGCTCGGCCCTTCGAGTGTAGGTGCGGTTTTCAGAGAAGAATCAGCCTGGTCTCAAAATCTCCCCTCCTCCCCTTCCCACTTCTTAAAATCGCAACAACTGGCCAAACAGTTTTCTGTTGGTTCTTTAGATGCTCCAAACTCTCCTCTCACCTCAGGGTCCTGACACCTGCTGTTTCTTGTGCCCACCTCGGCCTTCACCATACTCTTTTTTTGTGAGAAAGTCTCATTTTGTAGTGCATGTTGGCCTCACACTCATTTTGTAGCCCAGACTGACCTCAGATTCATGGCTATCCTCCTGCCTCGGCCTCCCCAGTGCTGGGCTTACAGGCGTGCACCATCACACCCAGGTCTTCACCATACTCTTAACGGCCTCCTCCCCCACTTCATCCTCTGAGAGGGTCTGAGTTCAGAAGAGGCCTTCCCTGATCACCTGCACAGTAGATCTTTTCCCAGAGACTTTCTACCACATCATCCTGTTTGCTGCCTTCAGAGACTGCCAGAGCTTGTAAGGGCTTTAACACCAGTCTTTCCCTCTGGAATGTCAACTCCGCAAGGACAAGGACAGTGTCTGTCTCAGTCGTCTTCACCTGGGGACAGTTTTGCCCCCCAGGGGACATCTGGCAATGGCTACAGAGGCTGTGGCTTCACAGTGAAGTGCGGAGGGATCTGTCGGCATCTAACAGGTGGAGGCCAGAGATGCTACCAAGCGTCCTAGAATGCACAGGACGCCCAGCCAGCAGCGTTACCCACCCCAGATGTCCAGTGTGCCGAGGCTGAGAAACCCTCATTATCTTATTCGCCATTATATGCTCAATGATGAACACATTTAAGAGGGAAGCTGAACAAGTCCGTCAGCACGATTGTCTCTGTGTTACATCTGTCCTCTCCGTGTTCCTTTTCTCTTTGGGGAGAGAAGTGTGGGTATTGTAATAGTGGCTACACAAATGAGTCATGTCTTCCAGGGTCAAGATACGGGTTTCTGGAAAATCACTGGCAAGCATGATTCTCTGAGTTTGCAAATGAAAACAGCCGCAGGTACATTTTGCTCATGAGATTTTAGAGGGGAAACACCTGCCTTGAGGGAGATAAGGACATGGTCGTGGTAACATCTTACATTGACCTGCAGGCTTGCATTATCTATAACACCGGTATAATGGCTCATGGTCCGGGAGTCCACGTTTTATTAGGGTTCAAAAATAAATTAATAAATAATTTTTTAAAAAAATTTTTAAAAGGGACTGGGGATGTAGTTCAGTGGCATAAGCCCCTGCCTGGCAAGCGCAAGGTCGTGAGTTCAATCCCCGGTACCGCAAAAAAAAAAAAAAAAAATTAGGGTTCCATATCTCTGTAGGCACCCTGTCAGGTCCTGCAAAGAAATAAAAAGTTTCTGAAGCTCTTTTAGGAGCTAGGGAAAAGAAAGGAGGCACCGGCAGTGTAGACGCGATGTGCAGGGCAGTGGCACTGATCAAATCGCTTTGTTTTGTAGCATGAAGACAAACACTGACAGACATCAGAAACAGGAGAACCAGGAGGATATGAGTGGACCTGGCCAAAATCCAGACCATGAATCACTGGTTACACCTGGGAACCAGACACAGGACTTCCTGGTAAAACCATAACGCTTCCACGGAGTACCTATGCCTAAAAACTATGGCCAGGGAATGCACAATGTATTAAATTCTGGGTATTTCTTCCTTCACATAGAATCCATGAATAAAAAATGTTAATTAAACATTCATCCCTAACATCCTGTCTTTAGAAATGAAGAATCTATGCTATCTATAGAAAATTTATAGTCTACTTGGCCACCTCATTAAATATTTAGGAGGATGGTAAGATTCTGGTCATGCCATTAAAGCCCGAAGTCTAAGGTACTTAATTTAAGTCTAAGTCTAAATTTTCCCTTCCTGAGATGTGTTTTTCTTTTATGATTCCCTAAAATCAAACCCCAGAAATCTGCTCCAGGTATTTCTGTTGGGGTGACAGGTTTATGGCAGGAAAACCAACCCGGGTAGAGTAACCAGCTGGTGGTCTTAGGCTGACTCTTGGTGTGTAAATGGGCTGCGCTCAGCAGAGAACCGCATTCATTCTACCGCGAAAACAACTCCCGTTTCTTGTCAACGGCAAGGCAGTCTACTCTCAAGTTTAAATGTGATACCTTTGAAGTGATAATCAGTCAAAAATTATACAGTTATTATGCTGGCAATTAAACAATCAGATAATCACGTCTGACTTTTCACAAGTTTAATTAAAAAGGAAATGAGGAAAGGTCGATAGAGTTTTGAGATTCTGAAGAAATCTTTCCGTGATTCCAAATGCTGATGACATGGGTCTTTATTTCATCTAACTGTATATTAAAATACATGACATCAGGTGTACAAAGGGCCCCGCTTACATGATCATCCATAGATGGGGCCTCCTTTTTCTCAAAAATAGAGAACTATGGGAAAGAGGGAAAGGACTGCCCAACACAAAGCTTCCCCCCACCAAGGCAACCACCAGCTTTAGTGTACCGACAGCAGGGCCTACAGTCCAAATCTATAATGTGCTTAATAGTAGTTCTTTAATATGAGTAATATAAAATCCATTCATAGCTGCACAAAAAATAAAAGCATTTTTGTCCTAAAACATGACAGATCACTTCAAATACAAGGAAAATGCTAGAAAAGTGAGTAAGTCTACAATGCTTCATGTACTAACCAGGGAGGTGGTCCTGAAAGATGAAAAGAGTGACATCTAGTGTCATATGATACATATGTGCAAGTGCGGGATATGGACTATGATTTTAGGCCTTGTTTTTTCTCTTGGTTACTTTTCTCTCACTGCTGAGACAAAATACCTGACACCCAGAATTAAGGAGGGAAAAGTTTGCTTAGCTCACACTTTGTGGAGGTTTCAGTCTATACTCAGCTGGCTCCAAGGCAGAGGGGCACATGGCAGAGGGCAACAGCTCATGGCAGCGGAAAACAGCAAAAGCAGCCAGAGCAAAATGGGAAGAGTGGCAGCAAGCAGCCTCTTTCCCTCCATCGTATGCAAACTTCCTGCCCCAGGGCAGTGTAGCACTCACACCCATAATCCCCGCGTTGGACTATGTATCAATCAAAAATCCAGAATAGAAACCCACCCCATGACTGCATGAGGCTTTGGGGGGACATGCAGACAAACCATAGCCCTTTTCAAAGACAGGACTTTCGGCAGCATGAATCACACCAGAGTTACCTTGTCAGTCATTGTTCGTTCTTTCTTGGGAGTGATGACAGTTTGGTGCTAATTTAGAGGGATAGTACAGTCTTAGGGTTGCAGGTCTGGCTTGAGTGAAGCAGCTTGGAACAGAGTCTCCATTACTAGCTGCCTGGCCTTGGGCAAACGTTTTAAGTTCTCTGTACCTCCACTTCCTTGTCAATAAAATAGAGTTATAAAGATGGAGGCTACTTTGTAGAACTAAATGAGTTAAGATATGAAAAGTGTTTGACACATAGTAAGAGCTGTTTAAATGTCTGCTATAATTATGAACGTGTTTCTTACACTTTTATTAACACTTGCTAATTTCATTTTGAACGAGGGGGCGCAGAGCAGATTTTAAGGCATGCAATACTATAGCTAGGATATAAGATCAGAATTCTATTTGTATTGTTTTTGCTTTTTGGTGACCTATTTATTACCAAACCTCAGTGGCAAATAAGGATCATTGTTAAAAACTGTTCATGCAGAAACACATACCTTCTGCACCATAGTTTTGCGATACTGTTTTCTGGAAAGGGCGAAGCTGCTGTGTGACAAAGCTGATACATGGCGATTCCTCATGGACTGCATGCCTTTCTTCTTGTCTCCCTCCCTCTGTCCCGTTCCTCTTTCTGTATTCTCTGTGCTGTGCAAACTAACTCAGCCAGCTCCAGCAGACAGTCTTTCTTGCCCACCGATCATTCACTATAGCAAAAGCCCTGACCTACACGAGCCCGAGAAAGCCACTTAGGGTCAAGCCGGTGTCCAGGTGACATCTTTGATGAACCCGGTGGGCCAAACAGTGCTCGGGCCCGATCCGTAGTCATCAGGTCCGGCGGGCAGCAAGGCCTCCCTCCCAGTCTGACTGATCGGGTTCCACACCTTCAGGAAGCAACGGCAACACCGGTGACCCTTCCAGGCCACCTACACGGCCGCGGCTGTACTGCGAGTTGCTGTAGGATCTTCCCGTGTCACATGGCTGCCTTTCTGGGCTTTACCCGCTCCGACACCCCCACCCCTCCCGCCTCCGCCTGGAAAGTTCCTTTCCTTCCTGTGCTCAGACTTGGCCCAAAGAGCCTGCTGCTCACCTCTCACTCCATCTAAGTGGCCTCTCATCCCCACCCGGTTATTTTCTCCCAGCTTGTCCAGCTCCACTTTCCTAATAGGACGATTCCCTTCCGAAATTGCTTTCATTGCTTGTTACTACCGTCTACCGCACTTTAAGGTAAGCTCCAAGGAAGCAAGAACGCCGCTACCTTATTCACACAGCAGCCCTAGCACCAGGGCAGCCGGGGCAGAGTCACTCACGGTACTGACCCGGAGGTACCCTCTGGACAAAGGGAGCAAGAAATGTGAGCCCCGCAAAGAGGTGACCGAGGCAAGGCGGAGCCAGAGCCTCAGCTCAAGGCTGCCCGCCTTCCGGCTCCCAGGGAGCAGCTCCAACGTCGAGTGTTTGCTGTGAATAACCCTGGCTCCACCACCAAGACCAGCGCCGCACACACCGAGCTTAGTACTACGTAAGAAGCATAGGTGTCATAGCATACGCTGAGCGCCACTGTCCATTTCCCGGCCAGAGTGCTGCAATAGCTAGGAAATCTCGCTCTTAGCATTCGGCCTCTGCTCCTGGGGCCGACCTCTGGCCTGGACAGAATGAGTCCCTCTCCTGCCAGTCGGTCAGCAGGTGCTTGCTGAGGACCCCGCAGACTGACGGGCAGCAGAAACCATCTGCAAAGATGCGAGAAAAGTGTAGAGATGGACGAAGGCCACCGAGTGCGAGCGCACAGGTGATGTGCTCAGAGCTCGCTCTGGCATGGAGTTAGCGGCCGTCCCTCAGGTTTCGCAGAGACTCGGAGACAAGCAGCAGAGGGAGAGGACTGTACCGTGAGAGCAGAGCAAGACTTGGGGTGTCCCTGACTGGAGGTGAAGGGATGAGGACGTCGGGGAGACTCATTAGAGGCAGGGATCCCACAGGACCAGTTTGGAGGACGCGTTTGGCTTTCTCCAATTCGTCCAGCGTTTAGAGACCAAAAAAAATAGGGAAACTGACGGTCACTGGCGAAATCCTCCTCCTCCTGGGCCCGTTGCTACCGTCACACCGTGTCACTGGCTCACTGGGTTCTCCTGTCGTAGTGTGATACTGTGAGGCCGCTGTATGTTTGTGTGTTCAGCCACAAGGCAGGGCAGGGTGAGCACCCCGGAATGGTCTGGCCGCATACTGGAGCAAGTGGGGGGGCGATGGTCTTTCCAAGGAGCTGATCCGGAGCACAGGCCTCCGTGTGCAAATATTTCCTCAGCGAGGACAATGCACACTGCCTTTCAGTGGGGCCTAAGTTAAAACCTTCAAGCACCTGGTGGGAGGACCCAAAGGCACAGGTTTTTTGTTCTGATTCTGACTTCTCTCTCACAGAGCCTGCAGGGAAGTAAGATTCAGTCCGCTTTGGAAGACCCTGAAGACTGGCTTTCAACTCACAGTTTGAAGTCTGAGAGACTCACCCTGGCTGACCTGATAAGTCAGGGCACAGCTGTGCTGTAAGTCTGAAGCCATCCCCGCTTTCCCCAGAGCTGCCGGGCCCTGGGCGAGACCGCTTCAGAAGGCTTTGCTTTTTCAGGGAGGAGAGCAGCAGTGTCATGCAGGAAATGTGCATCTCCACGCAGACCATTTGCCATTTCGAATCAAAGCTTTCTGAGTAAGTATGTTTCCCAGTGTCCTCCCAGCACCCAGAGCTCAAGACTTGCCTAACTTCCCAGCTAACAGCAATTGTGTTGAGACAGTAAGAACCTCAGTGGGGCCCTGGGCAGATCTCCCCATCCTAGCCCTGGCTTGCCCTGCTTCCAAATTAGAGGATTGGACAAAGTCAGTGTCTTTCCAAGTGTGATGGTGCACACCTGTAATCCCAGCACTCAGGAGGCTGAGGCAGGAGGATCTCTGGGAGTTCAAGGCCAACCTGGGCTACATAGTGAGTTCAAGGCCAGCTTAGACTACATGGTGAAACCCAGCCAGGCATGGTGGCACAGGCCTGTAATCCCAGCACTTGGGAGGCTGAAGCAGGAGGATAGTCGAGAGATCAAGACCAGCCTGGGCTACAAAGTGAACTCAAGGCCAGCCTGAACTGCATTATGAGACCCTGTGTCAAAAGACAAAGCAAAACAAAATATCAGTGTCTGTCAGCCTTTTAAGATCCATGGTTCAGCCAGGCATGGTGGAACATACCTAGAATCACAGCACTCTAGAAGTCCAAGAAAAGAGGATCACAAGTTCCAGCCCAGCCTGGGCAATTTAGTGACTTAGTAAGAACATGTCTCAAGAGAGAATGGCAAGGGGATTGGAGGTGTAGCTCTGGGAAAGCCTGGATTCAGTCCCCAGTACTGAAAAACAAACTAGACCCTCTGGCTGAACACCTAAAACCTCACAGCTGCATCTGATGGTGAAGAGTGACTACGTTCAATACCACACGAGCTAGGTTCATACCTTTGCAAATGTGTGTCAAATACGCACGCACCACCACTCCTAAACTGATTTTGATAGCACAAATATATATATATACACTCAAAAGCATATCTATGGATAATTAGAATGTTTTTACAATTACATTCTAGCTATGGCACTCTGTGATCCATAATTGCTATTTGCCTGTGGTTTCTGGAAAGGTTATGATAACAATTAATAGCTAAAATTTATTCACACGTCAGAAATTCTGCTAAGGACTGCATGCAAATCCTATTCAATCCTTATAACCCCCCAAAACATTGTATTACTCTCCAGCCCGTTGGCCAAAATTCAGTTGCTAAATGATTTCACAGAATGACCAGTTTACTTTCTAGGAACTGAACCCAGGGCTTTCACACTGATCTACATCCCCAGCCCTTTTTCAAATTGGAGGCGGGGTCTTCCTAAGTCACCCAGGCTGTGCGCACACTTGTCACTCTCCTGCTTAGGGTCCCAGAGTTCTGGGATTAGAGGTGTGCACCGGTGCACCCAGCTTGGTTTGCCAAATTTGCCAAAATAAAGTAGCTGTAAATTTTATATTTAACTATAAATTTATAACAATTTATAATATGTTGAAAGGTTAAACAAGTTTTAAAGGATTCCACAATATTTCAGTTGGTTGGCCTTAATTGTGTATCCAGCATTTTAAAGAATGTGAAAGTCTGTTCAGCTAACTGGTCACTTGGCAGGTGGATTTTCAGAGAAACTGACTTTTGACAAACTGATTTGGGCAGAGTCTTGTGTCTACCTTTTGATGGAAGATAATGAAATTCTGGGACTCAGAGAGGCTAGTGCACCTCTGCAAAGCTAGGCAGTCAGTGGCCGAAGTAGATCTCAAACACGAGCAGGTTACGAAGTGCACCGTTAGCTCTGCAGTCCTGTTCGTACACCCTTGGGCTCCACCCTCCGCTCCTTGCCTCACGATTTCACATGCCCAGGCCTGCGCTGCCCTTCTCTGGGCCCCTGGTCCTGTCCATCCTCAGTAGGCGCAAGTCAGCTGGGTTCAGGTGACTGGGTCCTTCCCTGAGCGCCTGTCATGTTCGGGTGTCCCGCCAGTCACTGGGATGGTTTGCTCTGCAGTTAAGGAGGTTCAAGACGTTACCTGGCTATTCTTCAGACATTAATGTTTTTGTTAATCAACCCAGCAAGAAAGTACTGCCCAACAGCCTCCGCGTGTCTTTGTGCTCGGTCTCCAGGAGACGAGGAGCGGTTCCACCTGCGCAGACACGGATTTGAGCGAGTGCAAGAGTATCTTCCCGCCTTCCTCCCGAGAACGTGCACCCCCAGCCCCCCACCCCTGCCCTCACTTTGCAGCTCACGCTGGGCCCCACCGTGGTCACTGTGATGTAGAGCACCTCACTAGCGGAGCGGCATCTGCACCCAGGCCCTTTGGCAATGTCCTTGGCGTTTTATCTGGTGTCCTAACGCATATCTGCACAGTAGTTAGTTTTTTCTCTAGATCTTGCCTTGTATTTTCCCAAAACCTTAGACATGTTGAAGACATCCCATCCACACCTCCCGTAATTGCTGCTGCGTAGTGATGAAGTCTCTGGTGTCTTGGCAGGGTCATCGAACGCTATCAACAGAGAATTCAGTGGCTCACAGAAAACAGCAAGAAGGTACGAGGCTGGGCTTTTGGTTTTGCCGCTTTCACTCAGTCCGTCTGTACTGATTAGAGCCCTTTCTGCTGTACACCAGATGCAGTGGTGCAGGCCTCTAATCCTACTACTGGAGACGCTAAGGCAGAAGAATCAAAAGTTTGAGGCTACCCTGGGCAATTAAGTAACTTAGTGAGACTCACAATTTTTTTAAAAAGGTCACTCAGTGGTAGAGTGCCTCGGGTTCAGTTCCCAAAGCAAAACCAAACAAAAACTCTTTTGGTTGCAAATGGTAGATTTTCAACTGACACCGACTTAAACTAAAAAAGAAATCTTTTAAGCTACGTAAATCAAACCCCCAGAAACAGCTACATCCGGGTATCTTGGTCTCTGGACTCCGGTTCCTCTGGTTTGGTTTTATTCTCAGGACAGAGCTCCCCAAGCTTAGGAAGAGGGTGGCCGACACCTCTAAGCCTACATGTCACCATCTAGACAGCACGAGGTTGAGAGGGTCTCCTTCCACCTGTGGGACTTCCACCTGTGCCTTCCTGAGAGGCGAGAGGACTGCTCACAGCTCTGCGTCACACGGAGCGGCCGCGGGGCCAGGAGACGCACAGAGCTGTGCTGGTGTTGCCAATGTCTTCTTTGTTTTCAGGCCTTTGGCCGCATCCGGGGGACCAGAGTGGCCGTCCTCATCGATGCGTCGGTGGTCAGCAGTGGGCCTGGGATAGAGGAGTTCCAGAACGACTTCCTGGTAGGTCTCCTGGGGACGAAAAGTGCCTGGAGCCACCCTCTTCCTGCACTTGCTAACTGGCTTTGTTTATAGCAGATGCCAAGTAAGGTGTTTGATAAAGAACAGTTCACACTTAATTAGCACCTACAGTGAGAGGAATATGTGAGATTCGGTGGAAACACCCCCTACACACACACACACACACACAGAGTCAGGCATTTTGGATTGCAGTGTGAACTTCTAGTATTCTCACCACAGCCGCGCCTCTCAGCTAGGCTGTGTCTCAAGAGGCCTTGGGTTCCTGGAGAGAGGATGCAAGAACAGTTCGCAGTGGGGGGCTGACTCCAGCGCAGTGCGGAGCTCCTGGCCGCTTCTACATGAGGGTCTATTCTGGCTTGTTTGCTCATCTGTAATAGAAAAGCTTAGAGCTCTGGCGTCAGACGACTGGAGTCAAACCTCGGTCACCTATTCCACCTCTGGCCAGTGAGCCAAATATCTGTACATTAGTTACCTCCTCAGCAAAAGGGAGATGAGAACCATGGCTAGCTCGTAGGGTTCCCCTCACGATGAAAAGTTTGTGCAAAAAAAGTGCTCAGTATCAAGTACAGCACAGAGAGACAGACCTCTGTGATGGTTGGGAAGTGATGTGGAGGGTTTTTTTATGGAAATCCCTAGAGTTTTGGACAGGGGCCATAGCAGCAATAGCCCCTTAGATTTCAGAAAGATCTTTACAGGTTCAAATATGACCAGTTGTCCAGACTTCTCCTCTGCCTGGGTCTCTCTGAGGGCCAGAGGACAGGGGTCAGTGCAGGCTCCCTCGCGACGGGTTCTCGGGGCTGTTTCGAGTTCCCTAGGTGAGGAGGCCTAACACTAGCCCGGTGTCTTAGTTACCATTCTCGTTGCTGAGATAAAATACCCAACACCTAAAGTTAACAGAGGGAGGGTTTATTTAGCTCACAGTTTGTAGAGGGAGGGTTTATGTAGCTCACAGCCTGTGGAGGTTTCAGTCCATAATCGGCTGGCTCCAAGTCAGGGTGGGATGGCAGAGGGGCATCACAGAGGAGAAACTGTTCATGGTGGGCAGAAGGCAGCAAAGCAAGTGAGCAAGGGAGGGCCACAGCTCTCTCCACCCCTTATATCTTACCCAGGCTACTTAGGGCGGGGAGCACTCACACCCTTAATCCTAGGGCCCTTGATCCTCGCACTGCACCGTGAATCAATTCCAGCGTCGCATACACTACATCCAGCCACCTCTGGAAAAGCCCCGCCTATGACTGCATGAGGCTTTGGGGGGCATCTGGACACAAGCCGTAACACCAAGGCAAGACTCCTGCTGGCGGCAGGCCGGTGAAATTTCTCGCTAGCCAGGAACAAGGGCAGAGTTATGGCCCCGCTGGACTCCTATCAGCTGCAGCGTAGAGCATCGCAAGCACGGATGCTGTGCCCCTGCCCCATCCCTGGCTCTCGTGAGAGAAACCGCTGCTCCTGACCTCTCCTCCCTCTCGGGCACCTCAGGCGGGCCCAGCCACAGCACATGCGGGGTGCTCAGCTCACACACAGACCCACAGGCTGCAACAAATGTTAACTGGGGGCTGACCCTAAGCTGAGGTTAAGTGCCCCCGTCTCAGCACGGCCCTCACCTCAGCCCTGGGGACCAGCTGAGGCAAGAGAGGTGAGGCAGGCTCGCCGTGGCCCTGGCTGTGCAGGCTGGTGACGTGCTTCTGTCCGCAGAGCCTCGTTGACGAGCAGCTGAGCCTCAAGGAGAAGCTGTACGTCCTGTCCTTCAGCAGCACCGCCAGACGCCTCTGGCCAGACCTGGTGGAAGTCAGCACCTCCGCGTGAGTGGCGTCCCACCCTCTACCGCGATGTTTCCTTCCGCATTCTCCTCTACCTCAGTGTCCTTATTAGACATGTCAGGTGAAAACCCAGGACCCCAGTAGACAAATGAGGACAGAGTGACAATTCACAAAAGCAGGAACACCGGCAGCTGATAATTTTTAGAAAGTTGTTCACCCGTGAGCAGCCCATTAAATAATAGACAGGACACCCCTTTTTTATCCAGCAAGCTAGCACAGATGGTCTATAACGAAAATAATCGATGTTTTTAAAATTCAAACTGTACGGAGGATAAATAATAGCCAATGACTCTCCCTTACTGCAGTCTCCCTTCTTACCTCCTACTTTAATTTACTTTAATTTTAGTTAGTTTACAAGCAGTGTCCAACTCCGATGGCTTGACTTTTATTTTATTTTGCTATTTGAGACAGTGTATTGCTATGTGTTTAGGCTGGCCTTGAACTCACTGTGTAGCCCAGGCTGGCCTTGAACTCAAGGCTATCCTCCTGCCTCAGCCTCCCAGGGGCTAAGATTATAGGTGTACACCACCATGCCCAGCGGGTTTAGTTTAGTTTAGTTTGAGATGGGACTACCACTGTGTTGCCCAGGCTGGTCTCACACTCATGGGATGGAGGAGTCTTCCCACCTCAGCCTCCCAGGTACCTGGAACTACAGAGGCCACACCTCTGCACCTGGCTACCAATTGTACTTTCGTATCTGTATTTCCACAGTCTGCACATCCGTGTGTCTATCTTCCCCAGTCCTCTGGATCAAACATCAGCAGTAACAGGCAGCAGCACTTTGCACTTGGCTTTCCCACTCAATCTTGAGGGTCGCTCCCCCGCTGTACGTACAGCTCTGCCTCCCCTGCGATGGCGTACGTAGTGTCCCACTGCACAGATGCCCTTTATTTGGGAGGCTCTACTTCTGGGGGTTCGTAGGGTGGTGAGGAAGTATGTAAGAGGTCTTATGCGCCAGCATCTAAAAATTTCTTTTTTATAAACAGAATTCCTTAGTCACCCACCATGTGTCAGGTACCAGGTATGATTGCTCTTAATGTTTATAGCCACCACATGGAATAGATTACAATCCCTATTTTATAGGTGAAGAAACTCAGATTGAGGGAATATACCCAAAGGAAAAGAGCCTCAATTGGACTACAAGCTCAGAGCAGATCCCAGGAAAAACTGCAGGCTTAAAGTCCTGAGCTTAAATTGTGAAAAGAGCCGTTTCACATAGAGAAATGACCTGTTCTGGCGGCACTGGCTTGCCTTCCACCTCTGGCAGGGGGTCAGGGTCCTGACAAGTTTTTCAGTGCTCTCATTTGCAGAAGAAGCCAGTGGACCCCTGCTGCTCACAGAATTATCAGGATGAAGTGAAAATTAAGCACCTGGCCCGAGGCAGGGACTCAGTGAGTGAGGGTGCTCTGTACTGCTTTGCGTCTCTGGGACAGTAAACCTCGAAGTCACTCGGAGAGTGTCCAGCCCGGAGCGCCTCCGCTTGCTCGTTCCTGCGCTCCTTTTGTTGAGCTGCCATCTCATCTCCGAGTCATGTTACTGTTGTTTATTCTGTGCCACCTGTAGACTATTACGAATTTTTCTGTGTATCAACTTTATTTAGTATGGAAGGAAATTTTCTATCAATACCATGACCCAGAAGCCCATACCCACTCGGCATAATTAGAAAGTAGTCATAAAAATAAACACAGTGAAAGAAAAACAATGATATTAATTCCATCTTGGAACCTACTGGCTAGAGGTCTGGGATTTCTTTCTCTGTTCGAAGGGAGCTCGGGGCGGGGAGGGTAGCTCAGCAGCAGAGTGCTTACCTTGTATGCCCAAGGCTCTGCGTTCCATCTCCAGCACTGTGGGGCTGTGGGATTTATAAAAAGGCAACTTAGGGCTGGGGATTTAGCCCAGCGGCACAAGCGCCTGCCTGGCAAGTGCAAGGTCCTGAGTTTGATTCCTGGTACCAGAAACAAACAAACAAA